CCTGCAAGCGCTCTTGGCCACGCCCTCTTCTCCGCTCTGCATGGAGAACAGCTGAGCAGCTGCAGCAGGAAGTTGACCTGCAGTATGAGCTTCACAAATGTGCAGCAGGTGCTAAATAATTTAAAATAATTTATTTTAAATAATTCCATGTCAGTCGTGCGGCTCATCCATCAATCAGCCAATTGTGTGTCATGTCCAATCTTATTTTGAAAAACCACAATAGAGAGAGTCTGCGATAAACGAACCGCGAAGTATCGAGGGACTACTGTACATGCAACTGTCTATAAGATGGATCTTCTTGGTTTTGTACAACGATGACTGAAAATTTTGCTTTGCCTTGAGTAGCAGATGAGTTACCTCATGGACATGCACGTGTCCTCTAAATGTTGCTAATATCAAGACTTTATTGACTTATTTTACTTAAAAGCATATTTTTTCTAGTTTATTTAAAAGTATTGTTGTATTCACAGGCTCGGGAACGGGCATGGAGGATAGGCCAAACGCAGCAGGTAACAATCTATAGACTGCTGACTGCAGGGACCATTGAAGAGAAAATCTATCACAGGTAAAACAGCAGCTTTTATGTCTATCAGCTCATGTTCAGACACTGTTGCAGAACTGATCTAGTCATTCAACAATCTTTCTAGCGTTTATGCCTTTTCACATCCAATCTTCCATTTTAGCCATCTTTTCATTGATCCTACACATTTTTAAATATAGGTCAGTTTTTTACATCACCACAGTGTTACTGCTTGCTCCGTTCCACATCTCTATAATCAAAAAGCTTTCCTGCATTATTAAATGGCCAATTGAGGACTTTCCAAGTATTGCTCTGTTTGGTTTGTGTCTGTGAAGAGCTTTTGAAAAAGCGAAATGGTAGAACAGCACAGAATCTGTTTTGATACCTGCCGTAGTGAACTTATTTAATTTTCTCATCTATCAACCAAACTACTCTGTGGTGACAGGATCAAGATTGCCTGCTGAGTTTATTAAAAAATCTAATTACGTACTTGTCTCTAATATTGTATTATTTTTGTTGTAATTTAGGCAAATCTTCAAACAGTTTCTCACCAATCGTGTTCTGAAGGATCCGAAACAAAGGCGGTTCTTCAAGTCTAATGACGTCTATGAGCTCTTCACTTTAGCTGATCCCACTGGAGCTCAGGGAACGGAAACCAGTGCCATATTTGCAGGTTTGTTTGTTCATTTTATCCTCATCTGAGACGGGTTTTATTCACATATATATAAATTTCAAGAATCTGTTTGCCATGCTGAGCTTTGATCTTTAAACAGGGACCGGCTCTGATGTCAGTGTGCCCAAGAAACCTGAGAGGCCGAAGTCATCACACTACAGCAGCTGCACATATAAAGAAACCTCAAGAAACCAGAATAAAACTGGTGCAAACGGTGTCAACTCAAGAGATGTTCCTCCTATAAACAACTGCAGCACGTCTCCATCCTGTGAAAGCACTCAGGGCAGATCAGTGGACAGTCAGAGCATCACTCACAACGGACTGGATGTAAAGACAAACATTTCTGTAAATGGACTGCCCACAGGGCCAAATAATACCGGAGACTTCGAAGAAACTAAGCCACTGAGCAAAAACACGTCCTTGACCATCTATCACCAACACAGAGACACTGAAAAACGCAGGGAAAAGAGAAAACACTGTGACACCACTGATGTGCACAAGCACAAAAAACGCAAGCGCTCCCGAGATGCTCGATTCGAAGGTCATCGCATTTCTCATTTGGTGAAAAAAAGGACTTATACGAAAGAGGAACGTGAAGAGAATTCATCAGAGGGACAGAAAAAGTCTGATGATTACGTCTTGGCAAGGCTCTTTAGGAAATCTGGTAGGCACAGAGCACATCTGCTTTATTTGTCTTGGTCTCTTTAGACTTTTAGTCTATGTTTGTTACTCATCTTCTGTGGTCTTCTTCAGGCATCCACAGTGTGATGCAACATGACACCATCATGGAGTCTTCCAATCCTGACTATGTTCTTGTGGAAGCAGAAGCCAACAGGGTGGCTAAAGATGCCCTGAAAGCTCTTAAGATTTCTCGACAGCAGTGCAGGCTTCCCTATAACCAACCTCCTCCTCCAGTGGCAAAGCAAGTCTCACCGATGCTCGGTTTTTGAGAGGGTTCACATTTTAAATTCAAAACAAACGTCTAATTTTTTTTTTTTTTTTTTACTCTCGCAGGAATCGTTTTGGGCAAAAGAAGAATTCTCTCCTGTCGGCACCTTCTGCTCAGTCCACCCCAACTCCAACCAAATGCAAGGTAACAGAAGAGTTTTTATTGTTTTTCACTATTATTGTGAGTTTTTTTATTTTATTTGTAATGCAGCATTTTTCTCTGTTTTATTTTAGGATGCTGCTATTGTAAAGAAGTTTACCTCAAAGAAACCAGGAGCAGGGGCCCATTTCAGTGGGGAAGGAGCAGGCGGCGACTTGAACTCCACTCCTTTGTCGTCAGCTTCTCTGCTGGCTAAGATGAGAGCCCGTAATCACATCGCTAATGCCTCCAGCCAGAGAGCAGAAGGAGAAGACGAAGAGGAGGAGGAAAGCTCTGAAGCTCCAAGAGCAAGCCATCCTCCTCCTCCACCCACGGAACACGATGAGCTGCTAGTAGATCTGCGCAACTTCATAGCCTTCCAGGCGAGCGTGGACGGGCAGGCTACCACGCAGGAAGTGCTCGAGTATTTCAAACCAAGACTGACTCAGCAACAGGCACCTGTCTTCAGAGAGCTACTCAGGAGCATCTGTGATTTTCATAGGACCTCTGGTCAGGAGGGGATGTGGAAACTGAAGGAGCACTTTGCATGACAGACGGAAGCGGACTTTTAAACTATGATACAAATGTGAAAATATGTCAGTCTTTCCAAAACACAGCTGCAGTGTCTTTATTGTACATATGTTTGTTTACTTCATATCCTGTTTTATTTAAAGGTCAAGCAGACCTCGAACTGAATTATTTCATATCGTTCAGCAATTCAATTTTTAAAATTAAAATTTTAACTGTCACTCCAAGAGTTTTTACTAAGAAAACCATATAGTGCAATACAGGTGTTGCACTATGGTTTTAAGTTGTTTTTGTTGTTTTCCAACACTTGAATGAAAAAAAAAAAAAAAAACTTTTTAATTAAGGTTGTTTAAAACTTCTGGTTCTAGTTTCAAGCCATATTGCAACAAATTCCATGACTTCTCTCTGTTGTTTTTTTACCTGGTTATTCTTGAAAATGGTCATTTGTATGTGCCACAAAGTTGAACCATATTACCTCAGATGAAAACCAACTGTACGCTTTTGTTTGCTGTCAGAACGCATACTTCCATGACCTCGCTTTTGTCAGATATGTGATATTTTTCTTTAAAATGAACAGTGTGTCATCATGTAAACAGCACTTAGAAAGGTTTGGTACTTTTTTTATTGGCTGTTTCTTGTTCAAATTAAAGAGAATAGAATCAGGGCTAATTAAAAAAACTAAATAAATCTGTCAATTCAATTCACTTTTATTTATTTAGCACTGATTCATGTCACCTTCACATTCCATTCACTTACATTAGAAAATGCTAATCAGAAAAAAGTTTTCTAAAGAAGCCAGCAGGTAGTGTTGAATTTTCAGTTGCCCATCCTGAACACATTAGTGGTGCACCACTTTTTAACAGGAAGAAACTGCAGAACTGGGTCCAAGATGGGCAGCCATCAGCCTCTACTGGCTGGAGAAAGAGGCAGACAATAATACTTGATCCAGGTCTACTTTCTATAGGAAGAAAGACAAAAAAAATGATAAAATAAATACAAACATGGAGAGAGAGATCAGCAGAATAAAGAAATGCAAAGTTGTCCTCCAGTAGTTATGCCTATAGCAGCATAACTAAGGGATAGCTCAGGAAACCCAAGTCAGAAAGGATTTATCAAAAGGAAAGTCTTTAGCCTATCTTAAAAAGTAAAAACTGGTTGGTTCCACAAGAGAGGAACTCTTTCTACTTTTAGGAACCACAAGTAAACCTGCACTAGTGAGAACAAAGTTCTCAGTTATGAAAATATAGAACAATAAGATATTTCATTTAAGATGGAGCTTGGTCGTTGAGCGCTTTGTTAAGGTTTTAAAAGCAATTCTGAATTTTGCAGATCAATGGAAAGAAGCTAAAACTGGAGAAATGGGATCTCTCTTCTCATCAGAACTCTAGCAGCAGCATTTTGGATCAAATGAGCCCCAGATGGTAAAGAATCGCAACAGACCAGCCTAGAACTGATAAATGCTTTTCTGCATTATTGCAATGTTTCATTTATTATAAATGCAATGCATTTTCTTGCATATATTTTATACAATAAACCTCTAACAAGTTGCTTCTTTCTGATTATTTTTGACTGGCATAATTCATCTACTATCACACTGCTTGTTTTTTTATGCAAACATCTTCTTTAGGGTGTTGTGTTGTGGCGCTGACCAGGGTCCTGAAAGGTCAGAAACCACGTCGAGGCCCAAATATGGGTCACAGCATCGCAAGACGCTGTTGATTTGCAAACTTGTCTCCTCCAGCTGAGATGGGAGAGAACTGTCATGTCAGCTAAGCAGAAAGGATGGAGAGTTAATGCGCTGACAGGAAACTCACTGCAGGCCCGCACTTCTACAGTCTAGACCAAATATTAGGATAAAGTTATCAACCGTTATTTGATTTCAATTTTCTCCACGCACTTCACCGAGGTCATAATAACAACTTTATTTTCAGTGGTGCATAAATTAATTACGCGCATTTAATAACTAAAATATCATTATATTCCCCCTTTAATAACATAAACGCTGCACGCCAGGGAAACCCTTAATAGCGCGGGGCCCTGTAACTGGCCATTATCCGCCTGTAATGATATTACAGAACCAATTACGCGCCATTAGAAGGGATTTTCTGCACTTTATGTGGTTTAGTCCAATCCCGCACTCCTCTTCTAAATTTCAGCTGCTTCTCGAAGCCTCATTTTGCCTCCACCTCAGAGACGCATGGCGTCTGCGCTCTGCCGTCCCAGATGCGCTTTAAAACTAATTGAAAGGGTCCCGCAGCACATCATTTATCTGAGGAAGCGAAATAAATCGCGGGACCCCTTGCTGTGAACAAAATCAAAAATTTGGCCTTGTGAGTGCTCTACGCGCGCAACCCCTTGTAAAGTGGACCCGCTAACGCACCCTGACGAGCAATTAACCCGCCCGACAGTCAATCTAAAACCCAAAAGCAGTCATCCTCCTTTTTTTAATATATGAAAGAACCAAATAAAAAAGTGCTGCTGGTATGTGTGCATGTTTATGGTTGGGGAATATGCTGGATCCTGGAATAACAATCACTTGTGATTAATTTTTTTGGCACCTGAGCAGAGCTTTGCCACCTTGGGTATGTCTCCCCTCTTCCTCCTTTTTTTTTCTTTTTTTTCTGGCTTTCTGCACACGCAAACATACACACACGTGCGCGCGCGCACACGGACACACCAGGGGTTGTGGGGTGAGAGAGACAAAGCCGTGATAATCCGATTAGGAGCAATTAGGCGTGAGATTCTGCGACACTTGCTGAAAGCCTTAACATTCTGTAGACAGTTATAGAGTTATAGAGACATCTGGACACTCCCAGAGAGAAACACACACACACACACACACACACAGGGAGAGAGAGAGAGAGAGAGAGACTGAGTGTATGTGTGTGTCAGAGAAAGAGAAGGGCCGAGCCAAAGTGGTCTGGACACTCCCAAACAGTCAGGAGAAGCGCAGCAGCTGCTTTTTTCTCCAGAGCGCAAACTCCCTCTCATCAGCATCCCGGCTGCAGGTAGGATGCTTTGAATCCTCCTCTTCCTCCTCCTCCTTCTCCTCTCAGGATGTTTTTTTTTTTTCTTTCATTTCTCCGACACGGATCAGTCTGACACTGTAACTGCAGTCGACCAGAAGCTTCGGCCTGAAAACTTTTTGTCTGTGTTCCAGATTGAGCCGCGCGGCGCGCGTCAGGATGTTCTACTTCCACTGTCCGCCTCAGCTCGACGGAGAATGCTGTCGCTCCAACACATGTGGGTTTTTACTTCTTGCCTTTTCATCATCTTCATTTCTGCTTTCAGTCCCGCAGCTGCAGAGTGAGACTTTGATAAAGTTGTGTGTTCAAGCCGCGCGCTTTTACGCACCGACGATAGGCCTAGGTTTATATTTTAAACTGTTTTTATCAAACATATTCTGATAAATACTTGGCAAATATGGCTGTAAATTAAAACTTGTTGTGCTTTAATTTAAAGTGAGGTTTAATTACACTGAAAATGTAAATATAAATACCTTAAACATTTTTAATGTATCGTTTAAATAAACTTCAGGAAAAATCCAAATGCGCCTGTAAAGGGTTAAGTGTGGTTCCCTTCTGCTGTGTCAGTCTGTTGGCTTTGAGAAGCGCTGGTAGTTTGGCCCCGGGGCAGGGACAGGGGGGCGTTTTGTCCCGGGCACAGATGTTGGGTGTCATGGCTCTTAGTCCGTCATGGGTCCCTTTAGACTCCCAACATCAATGTTTCATGCAACTAATGGAAACAACAAACATCTTCATTAGGCAACTGTGAAGGCCTGCAAGTTATGCTTCCTTTATTGTGATTTTATAGATCAGAATTTCTTTGTCATACAAATACTAAATCAAATGTTAAACAGATTTGGATGCAAACTGAAATAATGTTAACCTTCTGCTTGTCTTCAGTAAATTCAAGCGGGTTTGGAAACCACACCCCGGCTGATTTTGACGACGGGTTTCTGCGCAGGAAGCAGCGCAGGAACAGAACAACTTTCACTTTACAACAGGTACGTCCTTTTTCCAGGACAAACACATTCAGAGCAACAGAATGACGGGATACCGGGTTCAAGAAGGCAGGCAAATCAATAAAAAGTTGTTCAAGTTTTTTAAAAAAGGAACGAAATAATCTGTTTATTATATTTTATATAAAAATACATATGCAAGATCAACTCTTTTCGTGCAAGAAAATACAATTATTTTAGTTTTAAATAGTGAAAGAAAGAAAGAAAGAAAGAAAGAAAGAAAGAAAGAAAGAAAGAA